CATGTCAAAACGATAAGGTTTGCTCTATTGTAATTTGAGTACTAAAGTTTTGAGTCATGAAAATCGTCTTTTCATACACAAGAGTAAGATTACGTATATTTTTCGACCGTCTTTTGATGGGGGCCCTAAATTAGTATGATGGTCTGAGGTTGAAGTAGGGGGACAATTCAACCTCCTTTTTTTTTTCCGTAAGTGTTTATGAGGAAGTATGAGTACCTAGCACACTATCCATGGATTGAAATTGGCTGTGGAAGGTGCAAGAAAACATCATAATACATAGCTACTGATAGTGTGATGCATAAACAAGGCAGGGGCACAAAGGCAAAAAGATTTCAAGAGGAAACTGTTTTCATTGCATAACAGCTTTCATCTCATCAGACTTTTTTCTGGGTAGCATGTGAATAATATAAGGAAAAATGGGCGGGGATATGGGTGAATGTTGTTGGGAATAATATAAATGGAGAATTCCACTCATTGTTGGCTTGTTTTGTCTCTCACACACAACCACTTTTTGACCTTTGCAATTATGATTGAATTTGATTAATGCCCCTGCAAAATATAATAATTACATACCCGCAAAAGTGGGGTTTTATGTGGTAATGTTGTTACTCCATCTGAACCCCTAAAAAAGTGGGGTTTTATGTTGCGTAAGAATATTCTTTATTGAGGATCTGAAAAATAACCCAAGTGATAAAAGAATGAACCGTAAATTTTAACGTTTTGAATTTAAATCTTAGCAATTTCTTAGAACTTACCTATGAAGAATTTGTCCCTCGTAAATACTTTAGTGTTGACGTGAATGACTTATTTTTAATTAAGTTAAAAAAAAAATTAATCAAGATACGCGTAAAGTAATTCAGACGCTCCTGACCGTTAAGTTACCATTTGATGACACATTTTAAGTAGTAGTATTTCATATTTTTTTTATTGCAATTTACTTTTTTCCTGAAACTTAATCGTCTGTATCAAAATACATATATTTACATAGTTATATGTACTACAAGTTCGAGCAAGAATGTAAGAATATTCAAGCTTGATAGGATAACTCGAGTCGAACCGAACCCAACTAGTCATAACTATACTAAATCCGCCAATATTCAAGATCGATCAATTCAACTCAATTAACATTGTTAAAAAAAATATTTTTGGCAATCTTTTGGGATTAACTTATGAGATATTTATCTCTTATGAATATCTTAATGTCATAGATAATCTGTATTTGACCGAACTGAGGAGAAAATTAATCAAAATACAAGTAAGCTGATTTCAACATCCTTAAGCAATGAAAAATAAATAAATAAATAAATAAGTGGTGGGCATGATACCATCAGGGATCCAGAACAAACAATTTGGCCAGGTTGTTTCACAATTTCTCTCCCCTATAGTTTTTTATTTTTTGCTATTGAATCTCTCTCTCTCTCACACTGAGATATGACAAATTATACTTTCGCATGCAGCCTTTGAAGAAACTGTTTTATCCTTTAATTAGCATAAGGATTACACTATGATACCTAATTTTATTTTTCAGTATCGTATCAAAAAGTTCAAAAAAATGATAAATTTTAATTCAAAATGTAATAATCTTCCTCCGAAAAATAGTAATTGAACCTAAAAAGAGAATGCATTCCAAAAATTGATAAATTTTATCCACAAAGTGGTATAAAAACCCGAAAAGATAATAAGTAGTACGGTATCAATTTTTTAACCAAACCCGAAGCGTAAAGTATAATCTCAATCTGCTTTAGGTTGTGCTCTTTCTCGCTGGCAGCTAATTTGGCACATCCTTTATCTAGTTTGGACAACACTAAACAGGCTGTCTCACTCTGTATAGCCCAACTTTTCTTATTCTAGCTTTGGAATTGAGAAATGTTAAAAATTGATAGTACTTTGGGCAATTTGATTAATTTTTGTTAACATTGCTACACTTACTAAATTTTGTACAATAAATCAATTTGGGTCATTTGATTGGTAAGTCTCGCCCACGCACACTAAACATGTAATACTTCGGAGTTATTGGGTGAGATCCCATTCCTTTCTTGTCAAATCATCTACTATGAATTTAAGTTAGACCAATTTTATATAAGTGGGTTTCACATTAATACATAGTACGTGATTTGTCAAGAAAAAAAAAGGAAGAAATGTGTATCAGAGAGGATCTTGAAACATAATTTATGGTATTTTTTTTTTGTTATATGGATAAATTCGAAGGTCTGTCCTCAGCGAATAGAGGCGCACTTATGTCGCTTAGACTCGTGACTCTGAGTAGAACCAAGGACAAAGTTCAAATGTATGAACCGATTCCTTAACTCATATATCAATTAAGTTAGGACTTATGTTTTGTCGGGGATTCAAGACCCACACCAGACACTTGGATACGGTTCATCCAAGCAACTAATATCTTCTCCTACCAAGCAGCCACTCTTTTACGCCCAGGAAACTTCGAATCCTTGACCTCTCATCGGGAAGCTAGAGGCTCTGTCCAACTGAGCTACCCCAATTGGTTCATAATTTTCTGCATTATTTGGTATAAAACATCTAATATATACATTTGAGATGCATGTCTAATATACATAAAACATTTGGTACCATACTAAAAGTAACTATTTTTTAAGGTTTAAGTTACACTTTTTTAAGGTTATAATTTTCGTGATCAATTATTAAATTTAAGGACTGATTATAACTTTTACGATTGTAACTAATATTTTAAAAAAATTATAATTTAATTTTAAAAAATTATAAATTTCAAAACGATACCGACTTGAGTAACATAACATTCCCCATCAACCAATATATGTAAGAGAAGAGGAAAAAGCAGTTGGGAATAATTTCAATCAATCTGCTAAGTGCAACCTTACTCAAGCCTAAGCCTTTACTTTAACAAAAGCAATAATAATAATAATGGGTAATATTTCGCATTATTTTGTTGAGCGCACGCATTGGCTTGTGTCACGCACACGCTTTACAAAGTTTATTTATTCAATGGCCTATTTTTCCTTTTAAATTGCTTTTAACTTTGTCTCTTTCAACAAATTTTTTTAGGGGAATTCTATTACTACCTTGGTTACCCGAAGTAATAAGTCTATAGCTTTCTTATTTTTCATTTTGTTGGGACATAGGGTGACAATCGTGTTGTATCGATCGTGTTCGTGTCGAAAAATAATTAACCCCAACTCGTTACTTTTATATCAATTTTGAGTTGTGTTCATATGTTTTATAAGTTGCCACCCCTAATGACCGTTCAAATTCAAGTTGCGGTTGCAATTCTAGACACATAATTTTATGCTTATATATATAAATAATTTTATGTTTGTATATGTGATCCTCTTACAGCGATCCGAGCTTATCTTAGATAGCGACGAGAGCTTATCTCAGTTATCATTGATTCTTTTAAAAATTCTATAATTAGGAGGTCAAGGACAAATTTTTAACTAAATCAAGGCTTGATTATTCATATCTTTCTCTTATTTAAGTATGACAACCATGGATAACATCCTTCGTTGTCATTAACCTCACTATGTCCAAAGTTAAAGTATAACAACCATGTATAATTCCAGGTTAATGATAATGAAGGTTAAGTTATAATTTTTAGTGTTAATTGTATTGGAGGTCTTTAAAATATTGAAATTAAAATGAAATTAATTTCATATTTTAGAAACTTTTAGTACAATTAACCCTAATTTTTAAAGGTAAAATTACAAATCATAAAAGAAAAATTACAACTATTTATTCAAGAAAATCCCATTATCAACCATGAATTTTTTCTTCAACCAATTATAATTTTACTTTTCAAAGATATAACGTTACCATTAAAAATAGTAATTTTTGAAATTGTAACAATTTTTTTTTGTACGATAGATTTTCCCTAATATACACATATGAATATTAACGAAAATGAGGTAAAATCGACCCAAATCACGCAAAGGTTATTTATAAGGGAGAATTATGTTCAGACCCCTAAGGTTTGTCACTTAATCACTCGGACTCCTTGACATTTAAAATATTTATACATAAATCCCCTAAAATTTGTATGCGTGTAGCACTTAAATCCTTGTTGTAAATATATCTGTTAATAAATTATACTGAAACTATTTGTGGGTATATAATACTTAGATTCTTTAAGTTTAAAATATAATAATTAGACTAAAAATACTCCATTCAAATATAAAATATTTTTTAAATTTTATAACAAAAATTCATGTTTTATTGTATTATTTATTAAAATAAAATTAAAATTAAAATTTAATTTTTTTTAAAAAAAATCATAATTATTATATAATTATATTATCTATTTATTAACCGATATATTTATAATAGGGGTTTAAGTGTTATACGCGCATAAATTTTAGGGATCTGTGTATAATATTTTAAATATAAGAAAATTTAAACAATTAAATGAAAAATCTTAAGAATCTGAATGTAATTCTGCCTATTTATAATTACCCCTTAAATAAAACACAGAATCATTGACAGTGATTGCAGTCTGTTGATTGTCTTTCTCACTGTAAAAATTTTGAAACTGGCCCCAAACTGCGGTCAATTTGCCCCTAATCCCAAAGCCTCACTTGTCCTTTCCTTAAACACAATAGATTCCTGGTACTTTTAAAAACAGTGAACAATTCATCAACCATAAAAGCATATATCACAACTTCAATACTCTCCACAAAAAGCCATCTCACAGCGAGCCATGAATGAACTCCAGCAGATTGCAATGCATTTGGAACATGGGTGTTTGATTTCACTTTCTATTGATTCATTCTGGTAAGATGCACTTGCCCCTATTCTATTTCTTGTTTTTTGACCACTTCTCATTTCTCTTTCATACAATTCATGTGAACAAGAAGACACCCAGACCAAGTTTTTGTTGAAATAACCCAGAGAAGTTTTGTGGGTTTTCTTTTTTCTTTGTCTTTTTAATCTTCATTGTAGAGAAGTTTTTGTTGAAATAACCCAGACAAGTTTTGTGCGTTTTCTTTTTTCTTGTCTTTTTAATCTCCATTGTAGAAAGAATGAGAGATTTCCCTTCCTGTTTTGGTGAAAATGGGGTTCAAGTTGCTGATGCTTCATGTTCAAGTGTGAGTTTAAGTAAAGCTCCTCCTCAAAATTTGGTTACTTGCACATACCAGTGTAAATTGCTTGGAAAATCTTGCTTCATAACCATTACTTGGAGCAAGAATTTGATGGGTCACTGCCTTGGTGTTGAGATAGATGATTTGTCCCATCAGTGTCTTTGTAGAGTTGATGTGAAGCCTTCTTTGTTCTCTAAAAGAAAAGGTTCCAAGTGTCTAGAAGTGAATTTTGCAAAAATTGACATGTATTGGGACCTTTCTCTAGCTAAATTTGGATCCGGGCCTGAGCCATTAGATGGGTTTTATTTAGCAATGTTATGTAAGGGAGAGATGGTTTTGCTCATTGGGGATTTGAGGAAAGAAGCACTAAAGAAGACTGAATCTTTACTTTCTCTTTCCAATGCCATATTCATTTGCAAGAGGATTCACATTTTTGGGAAGAGGGTGTTTGTTGCTAAGGTGCAATTCTGTGGTAATGGGCAGATTCATGATCTTACAGTTGAGTATAATACTCTTGGTAGTGATGATACAAGCCTTGTGGTTCGAGTAGACAGTAAGACAGTTATGAAGGTGAAGAACCTGCACTGGAAATTTCGAGGAAATTACATGATTTCGGTTGATGGTCTCCCTGTAGAAGTTTTCTGGGATGTTCATAATTGGTTATTTGGTACTTCTGGGAATGCAGTTTTCATGTTTCAGAGTTGTTTGTCAGCTGAGAAAATGTCGACAAATCAAACATTCTCTGAACTGCCTTGGCCTTGCTCCCATAGTTTCCAGGAGTCTAAATCACCAGGTCTTGGTTTCTCTTTGGTCTTGCATGCTTGGAAGAATGAGTAAATGTGAACTGTTGCTTGATTGCTAACAATTACTTGTAGTTAGATGATTTTGTGGAGGAATTGAATGAATTATATAAATGGATATGGTGCTTTTTAATCCTTTTGCACAAGTGATTACTTGGACATAGTGAGGTTAATGACAATGAAGGTTATGTTATACATGGTTCAATTGGCAATTTCCTTTTGCTTTTGCTTTGGTTAATTCTGTTCCTACAAGTGATTCAGTTAATCTACAGCAAGCCAGATGATCACATTGCCATAAACACCCACCCCTGGATGATGATCATTGCCAGTTTTTGCCTCCAACCCAACAAGGAGAGAACACATAGTTAAACCAATCCCTTACCTTACCTGCTAGAATTAAATTCATTCTCCTTCGTCTAGTTGAGATAGAAGAAAGCCCGAGGAAGTGGACCATGACTCTTCTATTACATTACAAGCAGTACATTCTTGTCTAGTGTCCTTTTCGACTCTTGTTTGCTGAATACCAATTAGCAGGACTGGCTAAAAACACATTTGCTGTGTTTCGACCGAGTATATGCCAAATGCTTGCAGCTACATGTACATTGATTGGGTTAAAGTTTGTATTGTGCTTGTGATGTGATGAAAATGGCAGAGTTCACCATTGGGTATGCTATTGCAAATCTGGTAAAACTACGTTCTTATACAGTGAGTGGTAATTTGTAAGAATGAAGAAACATTGTCTACTAGGTTTACTCCATTGAATATCATTTTTCTCCATTTCTTGACTTATTGTATTTTTCTCTGTTTTTACACCTATAGGCAGTTCTAACTTCTGCTGCAATTGGGCTTTGTAACGTGCTAGGCCTTAAACCTGTCAGATACCAAGAAAGCTGAGGGGCTATGTAACAAAGCAAGGGCAGAGGGACATAGGGGCCCGCGGCGGGGCCGGGGGCGCGGGGGAAATGCCCATCCTGAAAAAAAATTTAAAATTTTTACCTTTATATATTTATAATTTTTTATTGAGTAGTTAGAATTAAGCCAACCCTCGCGACAAAAAACCAAAAATATTAGACTCACTCTAATAAGTTTGAAACAACTAAATGTTGTGTAAAAAATATAATCGGACACGTTTTTCACTTAAAGAAATGTTTTTATGTTAAAAAATTGCGACTAGTGATTAAGCCTATTTTTTTTTTTTTTGATAACTCTCAATCTTATATTTATTCATAATTGTTTGAAATTACTATGACTTTTTAAAATTAATGCAAACTTAGCTTGAAAATGATTACTATTAACTTAATTATTTATATAAAGACATTTTCGATAACATTATTAATAACGTTATCGGTTGTCAGGGTCCATTGTATATGGCTGTAATTAACCTCATTTTTTGTAAAAGGTTATAATTAGTCTTTTTTTTATTGAGTATTGTTTGCATATATTACATATATTGGTATTTGATTTTTTTTTTATTTAATGAATCTTTAAATAAATATGCAACACGACGTAAAAAAAAAAAAAAACATGTACCGCAATACTTTTATTGATTGGAGAAAAAAATTAAATTTTGTTGATTAAGTGTGTCCATCCAAAAATACATTTCTGGCTACGCCCCATTAACAAAGGGCATCTAAATTTTAGAAGAAACTCTCAGGGCAGCCAGGCTGTGTAGTGGTGTCAACTTGTCCGGTCAATACGAATCGACCCTGACACAATTTTAAAATTGATAAATACGCATAATAAATTATTTAGATTAATGGTTGACTTTTATCACACACTAAATAAAATTTTTTTTCGTGTACACGACATAAATAATAATGACACGCGAATTACATAATACAACATGAATGGACACTCCAAGTTATATGGATGCTCTGTGCATGGATAGGATTTCTTTGGGTATGAACATTGGTTAATATATGTTGGTAAAAATCCATTTTTTTTTCAAAGATCAATCCGGACAGCAATACATCCCGCAGAAGAGAAATAGGATTCAACTTGTTGCGGATTGCTGGGAATTCAGCATTCATTTCTCCCGAAGAGGGAAAATCATAGAAAAAAACACAAAGAATATTGCACTAGATTCGTAGAATATACGTCGTTTAATCTTTTCTGCACTGATAAAAACCTCGTGTATTGACTGCTCTATTACCCATACAGTATGCAACACCAAACACTGTCCTTCCTCCATCACTCGCTGTAGGGAGCTAGAAAATTAAATAACAAAGTCGGATTATGTGAGATCTTAACTCTTATGAGATAGGCTTGTTATTGAAGTGAGACTAATCATTCACTGGCTGCTGTACCCTAGGTACCCAATCTACTAATTTATGGACGGAATAAGAGGGTTTATGGGTAAAGGGTAAAAACTAACACTCCAAATCCACTGAGATCACCTCATCCCCCGCTTTTCATAGGGCAGTGAAGTTTCATCTTTCCTTGTATAATGCCTCTCCACAACGAACATCTCCCTACTCAAACAATCGAGTTATTTCTTATCTTAATGGCTAATTTTTAGATGGTTATGCATCCTACCCCCAGCATCACCTTCAGACAATCTATTAAGATCAACCGAAAAACCGGCTAGGCATCAAGTAATTGAGATGTTGTCATGTCACCCCAAAATTTCACTTGCTAAGAGCTAAACATATAACATGTAAACAATATGTATAATTCTCACCATGGGTGAACATTAGTCTTAATAAGGAAGATAGTACAGAAGAGCAGCCAAGAAGAAGGGGGCGAAGCAATGGAATGAATTCTTGGGTGCACTTACAACTAATTTACCACCAGCACATTATCAAGCTGACTTTGTACTAGCACACTGCTATAAAATCATGACAAAAATGCAGCCCTGCTTTCCCGACCATAACACCAGCAAAAATTTGAAACCCAACTCTTAAGATTTATATGGGATGGTAACTTCAAACATTCTTTGTCCCAATGCATGTTTAAATCAGAGGCTATGCCAGTATTAGGGTGGGAAACTAAAACAGGTTCTGACACAAGAATCGAGAATCCATATCTGCTGACCCTTTTCTCAAGCAATCCGTATTATAAGCTAAGATTTCTAGCATTGTTAACATTAAGACCATACACGCATTATTCCATTGTAAACATTTATGTTCGAGTATACAAACACATTAGAAGTGATATTAATAGTTTCGCTGAAATGGTCTCTCACAGAACGACAAATAGCATAATCAGAATTTACTAAACCAAACACACAAAACAACCTACGTTCTCTGGCTTCTCATCTTACTGCTGTACCTTCTTCTGCACAGTGATCAAATCCAAAGTAGAGCCATAAGTTCTGTGTAGAGCTTCAGTGCACCAGCCTTGCCCGTCATCCAAAGTTGGCATCCTAACTTCCATAAATGGAGCTACTGGATTTTGTGTCCCAGGCATTGCGACACCAGCAAACACTCTAAGCACATTTGAAGCATCGATGTCCATACACACATTAATCTCCGGAACCCCTTTTGGCGCTGGAGGTATTCCTGTGACCTTGAAACAGCCCAGCAAATGGTTCTTTTCGATACTCTTCTCATCACCTTCATACACAACAATCAGTGCTTCAGCCTGATGATCTTGAACGGTTGTGAATGTCAGATCTTTCCTTGCTGGCATTGTGGTGTTGCGAGGAATGATAGGCACAAAGCTGTTTTCATCAGCTCGAATGCCAATGCTCAGAGGAGTGGCTTGAATAGTTAACAGGTCCAAACTCCCTAAAGGATCAGTGATTCCAGAAGCCACTGCTCCCTCCAGTGCCGCCCCACAAACTGCAGCCTCCAATGGGTTCATCCCGCAATATATGTCCTCTCTTTTGCAAATGCCCATAACGATTTTCCTAATCTTTGGAATATTTGAACCACCACCAACAAGTATTACATCATTCACATCCTCCACTTCTACCTTTGCATCATGCAAGCACTGAGTCACAAGAGACTCACATTTCTGGAACACATTCTGGTTCACTTCCTCAAATTCTTCCCTATCGACCACTTTACATATTTTCCTCCCATTTCCTAGGTCCACATCAATCTGAACATTGGCTTGAGAGGAGAGCTTGTGGATTGCATCCTGAGTTGCAACACGAAGCAACCCCATTGCCTTTATCTCATTAATTCCACGGCTTGAGAAGATATTGTCCATATCGGGTAATAGGTGATGCATCATGTTTAGAAGTATGTCTTCACCTCCAATCGTACTTCCTGCCAAGGCTTTAATCTGCGAAACTCCTCCTGCTGTAGCAGTTACAGCTACATCACTATAACCAGCACCCATATTGAAAATAAGTGCAATCTTTTCTATCCCACTACCCAAGTTTTCATGTACAATCTGCTGCTGCTGTTGTGCATACAGCAGAGCAATGGCAGTTGGTTCAGGCATAAGTCTTAGGACTTGAAGGCCAGCCATGGCACAAGCACGCTCAATCCGAGTCAGTTGAAACCGACTAAAAGAAACTGGGGTGGTCAGAACAGCACTTCTCACAAGACGCTTAAGCTGAACTTCGGCCATGGCTCTCAATTCCACCAAAAATATTGCCAGAACTTCTTCAGGTGTAGTAGACCTCCACATATTGTTCACTAATGCGGCAATAAATGGCCTGACACCAATGTCCAAAGTTTGTACCAGAAATGGGAGGGTTTTGCTTGCATGAATGATTGGATCAGTGTCAACTCTACCAATTAGGCGCTTCATGTTGAAAATTGTTGCCCCACTTAACATTTCATACTCATGAGACAGTTGATTGCTAACTCCACCTGATGGCATTTCATTTTTGAAGGTGACATATGATCTCATTAGCTTGTGGTTTCTAGTGTTCCTAAGTACCTCCACCTGGGAGCCGTTCCACACTGCAACACTACATTGAGAAGTACCGATGTCGATGCCAATTGCAATTTCTGGGATAGGAGATGAAGATTTTTCCTCTCCAGTTGTTTCATTATCAGATGCCACAGTGTATGCTTGTTCAGCCATTCCTGTAAACTTTAAGAATTATTTAAGCAGTTAAACAATATTTAGGACCAACAGAGCAAAAGCAAATAGCAAACTAGGGGTTGAGGTCTTCTCACTTCTATGAAGCAAAATGAAAAAGTTAAAAGAGGGGGAAAAATCTAACCATCTATTCTATGATGTATAATTGTTACTTTAATCCCCCAAAAAGTTCTTGAGTACTCTTTTTAATTTATTTTGAATCTTCGCACTATAGGAACTTTCAGATAAAAATAAGTATCTTTAGGAAATTTACCATATGGGCATGAAATTCACCAGGTTCAACAAAGTGCTTCTCAACTAGTACCTATAAGTTAAGTTAAACTCCTAATTCACATCACAGGCACCAATCGAAATGGTAACACAAACTTACCAAAACACAGACAGGACTTAAATTGCTTTTACATT